TTCCTACAATTCAGAACCAGCGGGAGCAAAATTATACTGTTTTGAAGACTCGCTCCAATATGATGACAGTGGACGGCCTGAAGCCAGGGACCACTTATGTGTTCAGGGTCAGGGCTCGAACTGACAGTGGCTACGGGAGCTACGGCGGTGAGATTGAACTAGAAACCAGCCACGAAGGTAAGGAGATGAATAATAAATTAAGTTTTCCTGTGTTTCAATTGAATTGGTTTTAATCTGTTTTCCTGGTATTTTTTATTTCCCTGTGGTTTTGAGCTTATATATTATAGCAGCCTGCAGCTGCATTGAAAATAGCTTCAGGCCAGTCCACAGAGTTCACACACAAGAAGTCCAAATTAGCAGTGAATGGTGTAGGTGAACAAGAAGCACAAAGATGAACTGCAGAGCAATATTATATCAAGTGTGGTAAGAGCATGATTCATCCCTCCTGTAGTTTAACTCGATCCACTGACGGGTTATAAAATAGCTAATTTTTCATCCGAATGGCTTCTGCAGGTTTTGTTGTCAGACAGAAAAAATCTCAGCAGCCTCACAGGTTGTCATCTGCATATCTGAACCAGGGAGTTGAAAGCATCCTAGGAAACTTTAGGTTAAAAGAAGACAACCCAATTTCACAAAGATAAAATAAGCTATACACTTGCTTTCCTTGATTGTCGGGTCTTGATTCCCACTGAGCAACAGAGCTAAAGCCAAGGGGTAAAAGAAGTTTGTACCAGGCATAAATCATGCTAACAACTGAAAATTCAAAAAAGAGAATGATGACACCTGGCATCCCAAGATCAGAATCAGAATCAGCTTAATTGGCCAGGTGTCGGACACACAAGGAATTTGACTCTGGTACATTGGCTCTCAATGTGCATGTACATATCCCCATGCAAGGGGCAATCAAACAGAAAACCAGCGTAAGGCTGTGTAATATAACAAAATAAGCAGTGTTAACAGCAACAGACAGTGCAAACAATGCCAAATAAGCAGTATAAACAGGCAGTAAACAATGCAGACAGACAAAGGAATGCTCATTGTGAAATGAGATAGATAGGAATAAAAACAGAGTACTTAAAAATAGAGACCTGTACGAGTCTGTATAATCTGTACAATGTATATATACACAGGTATTGCACTGAGGTTTATTGTCTAATCATACTGTCGTGGGTTAAGTGTTCATCAGACTGACAGCCTGGGGGAAGAAACTGTCCCTGTGCCTGGTTGTCTTGGCGTACAGTGACCTGTAATGCCGTCCAGAGGAGAGGAGTTCAAACAGATTGTGTCCAGGGTGTGAGTCCTCTCCACCCTCCTTTTGACCCGTCAGGTGTACAGGTCCTCCATGGAGGGCAGGCTCACACCAATGACCTTTTCTGCAGTCCTGACTGTCCGCTGTACTTGTCCTGTTTGGTTGCTGAGCCAAACCAGACAGTGATGGAGGTGCAGAGAACAGACTCCATGATTCCTCTGTAGAACTGTATCAGCAGCTCCCAGGGCAGGTCGAACTTCCTGAGCTGCAGGAAGTACATCCTCTGCTGTGCCTTCTTGATGAAGGCAGCATTTTGTAGATCGATGGTGAATTAATGTAAAACTGACATCTTAGTGATTCAGACTGGTTTTTGATCCTCTCATACTGTATAAAGCAGCAGGATTTGTTTGCCTTTTTCACTTTCCAGTTACATTTAGACACTTACTTAGACTGAGGGTAAAAAAAAAGAAAATGAAACACCAAGGAAAAATCTATGCTGGCTCCGATCCAGGCCTCACAAACACCTCTGGGCACATTATGCTATATCTCTGTTTCAAATTCTGTGTCACTCGTCTTCTATTTTGTCTTCTATCATCCATTTTCATTATCGCTTCATTATATGCTCCAGGATTTTCTGCTTTAGAGGCTCCATACTGTGCTCTTCAAAGTGAGCACTTATTCCCAGAGATGCAGGCAGAGGGGCATAAATCATTTAATGTATGGTGCTGTGTTATAGATTTTGTAGCATACAACAGGCATGATACTAATCATTCAACAATCAATGAAAGTGATTCAAAGCTGGGTTTCTAGTCAAAGTCAAGTTCAGTGCTCTTAGGATCTGCCAGATTCATCTGATTGTATCGAGATTAACAAATCACATCACTTCTGTTGGTTATTACAGAAGTTACTGTTCACCAGTAATTGTAATAGGAGATCAGTGATTATCTGAGCTTGCCTAGGGACATAAATTTGCTTCTTCAACACTCACACACATTCATATACAGTATATACAAGCACACACACAGTCACACATCTTCGCTCATGCCTAGCTAAGCCAGATAAATGGCGTATTTGTTTTGAGCAATGGCTCGATTGGTGTGGTGTGAGAATCGATGCATCTCTGCAGAAGATTCTCGGCGGTAGCCTTGTTATGTGCAATGTTAACATAGCCTGTTGGCAGCATGGCCGAATGGGAATGGCTTTCACGTCCACAATCACACCCTTATAGGCAATGCAGTGAGGGAGAGAGCTTTTCATCAAGGACCTTACTTACTATTCCATCCACCTCCCTTGCTCTCTTTTACCAGTTTGCTGCTCTCACTTTTTTGCTTTCCTTCAACATCAGCCTTTTATCTTCTTTTCTTTTGCTATCATATTTTATTCTCTCTCCCTCTGTCCTCTGCTACACTCACCGTCTCTCTTGCTGTCTTTTTAACTCCCAGCCACTCTTAGCCTTTTTCATCCCTCCCTTCTCTCTTGGAAAAACACTCTCAGCTTTATTTCACCTTCCTTTATACTCAGTGTATTCTCTCTGTCTCCTGTGTAGATGTTTTGGCAATAGGGGACCCCAACCAGTCCACCATCCTGGTTGTGTCCATCGCTGGGGGAATTGTTCTCCTCATCTTCCTGGTGACTTGCTTTGTTGTCAGTGGCAGGTAGGTTAAAAAATGACACAAAAAGACACTAAGGCTCTCTGTGCAAAGTGTGTAAAGTGGAACAAAGTTCAAAAACATGTGGCCAAACTGGAAATTTGAGACAGCTAGTCTAAACAAGGATGTTTTTGAATTATGTATTTTACACATGAAATGCAGAAGAAGAAGCTAGCTGTTCTCCTTCTTTTAGCATTAACCCCTAAGTCAGCCACAATATGACTCTCATGGATAAGTCTGGGAATGGTCAATATTTTTATTATCCTCAAATCCCATGAAAAAAACAAACAAACCAATGATGAAGTGATCCACGAAATGTATTTCAAGAGCTCAAATCCTGATATATATGTTATTCCTCTGTTCCATAGCCTGCCATCATTATCCAAAAAGATAAAAGAGATGCCTCTTTGTGTCAGGTGCCTTGTTCCTTCATGAACATGGCCTCTGTAGCTTATTCTGTACCAGTATAGGAAAGGAACTAAGTGCATTACCACATGTACTGTGCAATTTTGAGGTATTTCTACTTTATTTGAGTATTTCCATTTTCTATTACTTCATAGTAGGTCATCATTTCAGGATGCCTTTTACTGTTCTTTATTTACTTGATAGCAATAATATAATAAGATTTTATTGATCCACAGTGGGAAATTCACAAGCTACCCAGCAGTATGTAAAGTACTTAAGGTACTTAAATAGATAAGGTAGTTAATAGCTCCACCTTTACCAGCTGCAACATTAAATTGATGAACACAATAAGGCATCAGTAATTATAATCCAATAATATGATATACATTAGTTTGAAATGTGCCATTTTGTATAATGAATACTTTTACTTGAAGTACTTCAAGTAAATTTTCCTGCTAAAACTTTTGTACTTTTACTTAAGTGACATTTTGAATGCAGGACTTTTACTTATAAGTGTTTTTACACTGTGGCATTGCTACTTTTACTTAAATAATCAATCCGAGTACTTCTCACTGCTCATTCTCATGTCCTGCTGCCAGAAATCCTTGTTCCAAACTTTCAGAAGAAAAAAGCCTCCAACACCCCTGATGTAATGTTCACTCAAAACTAAAGTGCCCACTTGTTTTAGAAAGTGAATTAGCTTGTTTCTTTCTTAAAATATATACTGTAGGAGCCAATGGCCTATGACTGAGAGTCATAGCTGGGCCGAGGCAGTGGGAAGTATTAACTGATTGACTAACACACTGTTGATTTCATTCTTTTCATGGGATTTGCTTACAGTAACAAGAACAAAGAATGTCATTAGCCTTATTCTTTAAGTTTTACGGTCTTGGGAGATCTTACTGTATATCTTATATACAAGCAAGAAGAAGACTTTTTTCTTGCTTTTTGCCTTTAAGATGTTGTTGGTTCAGCACCTGTATAAGTTGTATTCATTTTTTTATTCATTCATTTATTTATTTATTTATTGGATGTGCATGTCTTATGTTCTTTGTTTGACATCTTTTATATAAAAGAAATGAGGTTGTCATCTGTCAAAGGTCACTGACAATGACTGGACCATGTATTAAGTTGCTATGCGGTTTACATCCTCTCACTCCCCACTGGGCGTCAATAGCTCAGGTAGACACAAAGTGAATCTGACATAATGTAGGTAGGAGGCCCAGCTGGTAATGCACATGTGAATTCATGTATGCACAGTGGGAGCTGGATCTCCCACTTGGTCTATCTTCATATGTGGCTGCCTCCCTCTGAGAGATTACATGTGGGTGTGCTAAAGCAGGCCCTCCAACTTTGACATTTATACTGCTGCCAAAGCCCAACTGAAGGCTGTGTTATTCTGGATGTGAAGAGCACTGACTCTCTATGATCACTCTCTTTGAAGGTTAGGCTGCTATTAATGCTCTCTCTCTCAAGGAAGGCCAAAAGAGGAGAAGGAGATGAGAGGGAGAAAGGAAAATAAAAGAGTGCTGATTGGTAAGAGGCAAGAAGATGAAAGGATCGGAGCTCGAAGAGAGAGAGCTCTTTGGACAAAGAAGAAAGTGACAATGGCAAGAAAGGATGGGAGAGAAAGGGGTGACAGGCACCGTGCCCTGAATGTTTATCTTCTATGAGCTCCGACTAGATTAGCCTAATAAGTTTAATACTACACACACACATATCCACATGCATGAAAACATGAACACACTAATGTACACTAAAAACATTAGTATTGATTCAGATGATTGCTTATCAAGCTGAGTGCTCTATTCACTATTGACTATCAGGGGTGTAATCAGTGGAGACTGTCCTGTGTGGCACACACACCTACACACACACACACACACACACACAGCACATAGACAGGAGCACATCAGCATGTTTTAATCAGAGGGGAATTATGAGGTTGTGCGTGTTAGACCCAAAGCAACATGTTAAACATAGTGCGCTATGCTCACACAATGACACAAACACACACTCAACAAATCAGGTTCCACAGTCTGGGGAGGTGTTAACTAGGTTTTACAGAGGGGTCGATGCGCCACCATCAATTTAAGGTCTCTCGCTCCGTTTCTATCTATCTTTCTTCCATTTAGAGGTGGGGACGCTGGAGAGGAAGTAGTGTTGATTACAGCTTTCTATTAAACAACATCTGTACATCTGTCAATATGTGTGTGTGTGTCTGTATGTACATGTGCAAAAGTGGAGTATGTACCATGTTTGGGGAACGAAGCGAGGAACAAAGCTACATCACTAGAGAGAAAAGAGTGGGAGCAAGAGCGCTCAGCGGGGAGAAAGATGGACAGAAGTGAGGTAAAGGAGAGACACAAGTAGAGGATAAAATGAGAACATATTAGATAGGCAGTGGGAATGACAGATTGCAGCGAGGAAGGGAGGGAGTACATCTGAGGTATGTTTGTGCCACTAGAGAGCTACATTTTGAAATGGTGTGAAGGATGGAGGGAAAGAAGAGGAGGCTTGAAAGAGATAGAGAGAAAAGGAGATTGATGGAGGGAGGACAGCCAGTGGGAGGAAAGGAAGAAGTGCAAGAAGCAAAAGATGAAAAGCTAGATTATAAGTGTTTCCTGAAAGAGGAGGAGAAGGATCAGGAGGAGAGATGATGGGTGGGAGATTGCGTTGTTAGGTGCAATAGGAGTGTCATCTTTCATGTTTTGGGGGAATTGGGAGAAAATCTCAAAATAAAGATTGGTCGATCTCCTCTTTTGTTGTCCAAACCTCTGTCTTCTCGTCCGTTCCATCGCGTCTGTCACTCACCACAGTTCTTTTTTCACCCCCCTGCTCTCATTTCACTCTTTCTGCTTTTGCTTTTCCCTTCATTTTACATGTGATTTGGCTCCAGAGCTTTCATTTCCTGCTCCATTCTTGTAAATTTATATTTGGATGACCCAAGACCACCCACATCTATCAAGAATCTGATGCATTTGCTAAGACTGAGTTCAATGTGGACAGTGATTAAGCTGACACTTGGAGTCAGACAGGGCTGAAATGATTTCCCACCAGACATTTGTAAGGCCCTTTTCTCCCTAAATGCCAGCTGTTTAAATCATTTCCCCAATAATCACTAGACTGGAGAGAGGTGCCGGAGAGCTTTTTGCTCTTGTTTTACACCTAGTTCACCTATTAAATCCACAGTCCTCACCACATTTTTGAACAGCCTGATAGAAGGGTTTTATCTCTATAGAATAACAATGTACAGTGTGCTGTGTGCATACGGTTTCTGTCTTTCTCTCCGGACATACACGCATCCACCTGCAGCCGTTGCTTGGCAGAGTACTGAGCAGCTATGCCTCATAAACGGGCTGATTTGCAGGCCATTCTGTTCTGTCCTGTTCTCATTTAATAAAGTGCTGTTATGCTATTGTTACCGCAGGAGGGAAAACATGAAAAAATGTAGAAAGCTGCTCAGACACAGCACGGCGCTGACAAATCACACCAGTTATTGCTGCGTGCGTGCCATTACTGCTCTGTGAGGATGAGTGTGTGTTTGGTGTGTGTGTGTGTGTGTGTGTGTGTGTGCATGTATGTGAAGTTGGTGCTTTTGTCCTCCTGAGGGTGCTTTGGCAGGCTGGCAGGTGCGAGTGATGGGACGCTAGCAAGCGGCTGGCATAGCCATGGATTCAGCAGATGGCCTTTCACTCAAAAAGCGCTCTCCCCTTCAGTCCTCACTTTCTTTCACTCCTTGTTAAACACGTTATAGCTTCTGCCTCCCAGCATCCATGTGTATGTTTGTGTGTGTCTGTTTTGTCTGCAGTCTAATGATTCCTTAGCGTTAAAACCATCTCCTTCTCTGAAAAGCTGCGGGCTTTGGTCGTATGCCAAGTTCCCGTGTGCTTTTTTATGTTCATGTTTTCATGTGGGAGTTTTGGAGAGAAGTCAGTGCAAAGTTTCCATTTATTTGATGCCTGCCTTTTTTTTTTTTAAAGTCATCATCTTTTATGCGTCTCAAAGTTTTGCGAAGTACATCTGTTGTCAGAGCTGAAGATATTTATTAGGAAGTCAAGGGTTGCAATCTGGCAAGTGAAACATCTGAAAAGCTTAGAATAATAAACAGTGATTAACTGGATACTTAGTGCAAAATAAGATGTACCCTACCGTTATTGACTGAAGTCAGCTCTCTTGTTATTGTTTCCATGTTTCACAAAGCTATTGATCGCTATCTTGCAGAGTGGTTCAGGTTTTATCCAAGAGAAAAGGCAAAGAAAAAATGGTGAGTTCATTTCCAGAGACAGATCC